TCTCTGACTTCCTCCAGAAACTAAACCTGCTTTAACCCCTGAAGTGCCACTCCCCATTTTTGAACATAGTAACATTTAAAGTGCACTATCCAAACTTAAATTATTATAATTCATGAAAGCTTTGGAATACAGACCTAAGGTTGGACTCCTGTATAAGAAGACAATCTGCAGATTACTGCAGAAGTGGGATCATTTCAAAATATTAAAAGTATCAAAAAGTTATAGAAGTTTAAATTTACTGTAAAGAAAATGCACTGTACCAAATTTTGTTTTTATTTTATATAAAGTAAATATTTTACAAAATATTTTTGAATCCAAAAATTGATATAAAATTAAAGCCTTGTGTCTAAATAAGTTAAGTTCCAAATTTGAAGTTGATATAAAAAAATTGTTTTTGGGCGTTATACCACAAACAGCCACCGGGTGCCATCCAAACTCTGTAGAATTTTTGTTGATGCGTTTTTCTGTCACAAAGGTCTAAATTTCTGTCATTATTACGTCTATCAAAAAATACCAACCACCAAATATGGAATCTTGAGACTCGGACCTTTCCAAATATATGTATTTTGTCAAGATTATCAAAACGTTTGATTCTAAAAGACCGCAATACATTTAGTAATATGACACTTGACTCCGCCCACTAAGGGGAGGAAGACCGCCAAACAATTTTAAAGTACCATTTTCCATGGTAAGGCAATGTCCGATTTCAAAATGGTTTTCACAGGATGAATTTTGGGCTTCTAAGCTTTCAAATGATATATAACGTATGATGATTACTAAAATATTTGATAGAGAAAGAGGACAGCATATAAAGAGTGCCAAGCATCCCATAGGTGGGACGGTGACAGATAAGGGTTAAATTAGATTATTTTTTTTTTTTCATAATTTATATACTGAATGTTGCCTATTTTTATCCAGTGCTGTATGCAATCCAGACAGGTGGTTTTAATAGCACAATAACATCTGATTTAACGTGAAGAAGTGTGTATGGAAACATGCCATTTACCACAGTTCTAATGTGCTGGAAAAGCACTTGAAAAGCTTGAAAATGCATCTTGAAAATGCTTGAAAAAGTGTCTGAATTTCACTTTGGCAAAGGTGTAAGAACCCTGCAATTAGAAGGTATCTTATTGTCTCAGTGGACAGTTCTTGGCAAGAATAAGCAGAATGAGGACCAGGCTTTATGCCGCAAACAAAAAGACTGTCTGCACAGAATTTATGTCCTGCAAATAAAGACATTTGGGAATTTCTTCTATCAGGTTTTCCTGGTTTAATAACATAAGGATGTATCTCTCCCAGTGGCAAAAAATATATGGATTGATTTCAAGCTGGGCAGTGATTTGTAAAATGTTATTGGACGATGAATGTGGACTGGGGGACAGATCACACAAGAGAGAGACACAATGTCATAACGTGCTCTCTGGGTTTGACTTGCTGATAGCAACAGCTGCTGTGTTCACCGTCCCTGCCAGTGGGATATTTCCCTGCCCATCGCCGATCGCTCCCTCCAGCGTGGGTGGTTATATCTTTCTGGGACTAAAGCTTAATTGAGAATAATGAATGCTTATTTTTTTACAGAGGGCAATGCGACCACTGTCCTGTCAGGATGATGTAGTGCCACCCATGTATATTCATCAGACATTCACCAGCAAGGGATTTGAAACTTGTAGGTACAATCAGTGCAGGTGATGGACTAATTATCCTGGTGTGCCTGTACAGAGGACTCGCAGATGATAATGTAAATATAATTAGATATGCTACTGGTTAAAGTCAACATGAAATGGCATTTGCATTGCATAAAACTTATGTAATGTTGTTTTTCAGAGTGAAACAGGATATTCAGTCAGGGAAAAAAATAAAGTGGGCGTTACCTACCAGAATGTATTTTGTGATGTCAGCCAAAAAGGAAAGCTGTTTTAGAGGAGCAAGTTATTATGTAGAGGATTGTTGTTTTTTTATTTGAGATAAAGTGCACTAATTAATTATGCACAAAAAGACCAGGACATGTATGTGAAAAAAAGACAATACTCTTAATTTTACAGACATTTCCATGAACACAACAAAATGCAGTGCAAAATTCAAAATACAGGTAAAACTCCTGAAAAATAAATACATAAATAAAAAAAATTATTCATATTAATATAGTACATTGAGCCCATTTTTTTAAGACGTCTTTTTTACTGTCTTAAAAAAATGGGCTCAATGTACTATATTAATATGAATAATTTTTTTTATTTATGTATTTATTTTTCAGGAGTTTTACCTGTATTTTGAATTTTGCACTGCATTTTGTTGTGTTCATGGAAACATTATTACGTCTATCAAAAAATACCAACCACCAAATATGGAATCTTGAGACTCGGACCTTTCCAAATATATGTATTTTGTCAAGATTATCAAAACGTTTGATTCTAAAAGACCGCAATACATTTAGTAATATGACACTTGACTCCGCCCACTAAGGGGAGGAGACCGCTAAAAGATTTTAAAGTACCATTTCCACGGTAAAGCAATGTCCGATTTAAAAATGGTTTTCACAGATGAGGTTTTCAGCTTTCAAATGATATATAATTTATGATGATTACTAAAATATGTGATTGGGCCCATCTGTGGGCCGGTGGCACTTAAGGGGTTAATCACACAGCAGTGACTTCTGTGCTCTGCTCACCCCGCCTTTCTTTTGTGGGCATCGAACTCCTTGGCGAGGGACAGCCCATGGCGTTCTCTGACATGTACATGCGCAGTGTGAAGGGCTCAAACGCCAGGCCCATGAACCACACGATAGCCGCCAGGTAGCACACAATACTGAACGAGAGAAACGGAAAACAAATAAGGAAGAGATGTCATAGCGTGTCAGGTTCACACAAGGTTGAAGCTGGTGAAGCACCTACCATATGGGTGCGTTGAGGCGGGTCAGGAGGTTGGTCAGGGCTTTTCTGCGATTCGGGTCAGACAACAGACCCATGATGCTCTGCTTCAATCGACCTAATCAATTAAAAATGTATAATGACTTCCATTGGTCCATTTTTAAGTCTATTTCTGGATAGGCACATAACTTATGGTCTCGCCCTTATATAAAAGTAACAATAATGGTTTCACTTTATTTTGACGGCTCCTTTAATACATTGTTGACTATAAGTAACATTGCACCTACATATCTACTAACTCTCATTAGAGTATTAGTAGAGTGTTAGGTTAGGGTTACGGTTGGTACACTAGTTAGTCAGTAGATTATCCGTTGAGAGAAATTAATCCCAGTCTACTAATACTCTGATGAGAGTTAGTTGACATGTACACTGCTGTTCAAAAGTTTGGGATCAGTTTTTTTATTGAATTCTCTTCTGCTCATCAAGGCTGCATTTATTTGATCAAAAATACAGAAAAAAACTGTAATCTTGCTAAATGTTATTACAATATGAAATAATGGTTTCTATTTTAATAGCCTTTAAAATATAATTTATTTCTGTGATGCAAAGCTGAATTTCCATAATCATTACTCCAGTATAAAGCATCACATGATCTCCAGAAATCATTCTAATCGGCTGATTTATTATCAGAATTATCAACAGATGTGCTGCCAAATATTTTTTTGGAAACTGCGATACTTTCTTCAGGATTCTTTGATGAATAAAAAGTTAAAAAGAACAGCATTTATTCAAAATATAAATCTTCGCTATCACTTCTTACCAATTTAATACATCCTTGCTGAATAAAAGTTTTAATTTCTTTCAAAAAAAAGAATACTTACCGACCCCAAACTTTTGAAAGGTAGCGTATATTGTTAGAAAATATTTCTATTTTAAATAAACACTCTTCTTTTTAGCTATTTATTCCTCAAACAATCCTGAATTAAGTATCACAGGTTCCAATTTTTTTTTATAATAATTATTAAGCATCACAACAGTTTCCAGCACTGATAATAAATCAGCATATTATACTGATTTCTGAAGATCATGTGACACTGAAGACTGGAGGAATGATGCTGAAAATACAGCTGCGCATCACAGAAATACATTCGATTTTAATGTACATTAAAATAGAAAAACGTTATTTCACATCATAATAATATTTCCCAATATTAAATGTTTTCCTATATTTTTAATCAAATAAATGCAGCCTTGATGAGCATAAAATTATTATTATATTGTCAACAGAATGCTCAAAAGGGACCATCAAAATAAAGTGTTACCACAATAATTAATAATAATAAAATCTGTTTTAACATACATTAAAATGCTTACAATAAACACCAACACAAACGATAACACCCTAATCGCCTCCCACGGCAAATCAGTAAAATATACAGACATTACTAAGACTAAAATGACCAGAGTTGTAACATTATTAAGATGAATAACCTGCAGATTCTGTATGATTTATTCAGCGTTCCGGATGAGACACTAGCTCTGCATCCCCTGCGATGAACAAAATACATTTTAAGAGCTTTTAAAACAATCACGGAATTCGTGATAACATTCGGATAAACTAAAGAACATAAACGTCTCGGTATACCGCGAACTCACCTTGAGATAGCAAACGTTAAAATACCGTTTCACTTGCAGCTGCACTACATTCATTCCTGTGAGCGACCCAAGAGTTGTATTTTTTAATGCTCTTAAAAATTACAATTATGCATAAAAGAGGAAATGTGAATGACAAAGATCTGTTCTTTACAAAATGATTCACAAATGAATTTATTTATATACAACTTAGCCACATATGTGTCGACTTGATATTCATTACATTAGTAGTAATAAGAGTATTCATGCATACATTTATTTCTATGTTTATACATTTATGTACTTACTCTTTTATTTATTTTCACATTTAATTATATAGATAAATTAATTATTTTAATTTAGATATTCGTATCCTGGGATGCCTTTACGTGGCCGCATAGTTTTGAGAACAACACGATAACTGTCAGTGATGTACACAGTTTTATAACAGAGGCTGATTACAGCTGTCATGTAATGGAGGAAAGCGGTCAGACTCGCTGCTGTATACACATCCATTTATTCCATTTAAGTTGTGTTTTCATTATTAAACAAACATGTTATCAAACCACCAACTTCCAACATTCCCAATTGCAATTTAATAGCTCATATGAATAAGTGCCACATCCCCGTTTCATTAAAACCCCTAAGCTGCCACTGTCTGTTATTCATTCTCAATCGGCTCGCTCACAATGCAAATGTCACACTTCAACCTTGAACAGCTAGAGTAAGTTGTCTTTTAAGCATTTGTTCCTCTTTGCATTTGAGAATTAACTCTAATTTGATTATTTGAAGACTAAAGGGCAAGCAACACTTGTGTGGAAGTCCTTGGCAATGACAGAGGAATGCATTTAAAGCCACTGTGGAGAGAAAAATAAAAGATACAAAAAAATCAGTATGTATTGCTGGTTCCAATTTCTTTCATTGGCCGAAACCGACCGACAAACATCAGACGACATGCTGACACATGCCACCGGCTCACAGAGAGTCAGCGTAAAGAGCTGGAGGCGGCAGGAGATCAATGTCTGCAAACTGGAAGTTTTCTGCCTCTCTGTCATGAACACAGGGATAAATAAAGACGAGACATCATTTGAAGAAAAAGACATGATCACACAAGGCAGGCTTTGCCGTCTCGGTTTCTTTAAATGATTAAAAACGTGATTATTTAATGATTAATAAGTAAGATAGGATGGAGATTCTACACTGGGACATTTTAAAGAAGGAGAGTGTGAGAATTGTATTATACAAGCTAAAAATACATCACTGTTAATTTAGATTTGTAACAAAATTACAAGATATCATGATTAATCAAATTTAGCAGACAAGTGAAACATTGAATAGACATGACAAAGACGATTATTTTTTTAATAAAAGCTTTCCATTGATGTATGGTTTGTTAGGATAGGACAATATTTGGCTGAGATACAACTATTTGAAAATCTGGAATCTGAGGGTGCAAAAAAATCCAAATATTCAGAAAATCATCTTTAAAGTTGTTCAAATGAAGTTCTTAGCAATGCATATTACTAATCATAAATGAAGTTTTGATATATTTACGGTAGGAAATTTACTAAATATCTTCATGGAACATGATCTTTACTTAACATCCTAATGATTTTTGGCATAAAAGAAAAATCTATAATTTTGACCCATACTATGTATTGTCGGCTATTGCTACAAATATCCCCCCAGAGACTTAAGACAGGGTCACAAATGACCCACATAATCACATGTTTATCATCACTAGCAAGAATCGAGTCACTTTAATCACATATCACCAGTGCTCCCAAAAGAGGTGAACACCACCACATAAAAACATCTGGGTTACTATTGAATATTTCTTTGAATTGTCTTCAAATATTGGTGTGCACCGACTAGACATGAACACATGTTTGTACAGCTGTGCGTTGATCTGTAGCGATAAACTACTCACTGTGTCTGGATGTCTTCAATACTCCAGTCACTGAAAGGATGATGAGCAGAAGAGCTGCTATCGACTGAGGAGAGAGAGGAAACATGATTGACAACACAGCACAAAATATATTCTCAACACTGAGAAAGTGAAAATGCATACTTACACATCTCAGGCACAGAGACCGCTTTGATCTGACTCCTAGAAAGAGAACAATACAGAGAACGAGATCAGTGTACAATTCTGATAAACAGCTCAAATCCATTCTGAGAGACAAAGTTGAGGCTTACACATTTTCAGCAGATAGCGACAACATGTCATCTTCTTCATACATCCATTCCTCGCTGTCATCAGTGACTGGACGAACACATTTGACAATGTATTGATTTGACATGCATCAGGACTTTTGCAGTGGCAGGCCAAAACACTGGCGCCAATGCACTTTTCTCAAATAATAAAAAAAAAGTTTCAATAAGCAGGGCCTAAAGACCCTAAAGGGTCTTTCAGGACCTAAACGCACTTCAAAAAGCACCCAGGAAAGGTTCAAGACAAAACAATGCACTGTTCTGAAGTGGCACGCTGTGAGTCTAAATCCCATTAAAACATACGGAGAATAACTGGAGCGCTTTTCACAAACTGCCAGTACAGAGATGCAGGAAGATCAGCGGATGGTTATATGACTCTAGAGCGTCAATTTTGGCAATGCCATTTTTATTTTCTGATTTAAATATAATAAGTGAAATAAAGAATCACGGAGATCAGACATTTAAATTTCAATTAATTTTTTGAGAAAATTGTAGGTTTAAATAAAGTGCAAGGGTGCCAATATTTTTGACCTCGACTGTATAAAGAAACAAAAAAGAGAAAAGAGAAAACTTACAGCTACTTGTAAGCACAGGATTCTGATGAGAGGACCTGCAAAGATCAAACCATGTGAAATTTAGATCCACAGGTCATCGTTGCACTCACTTTTTTGGCATGATGTGCTCTACAAATTCTGTTTATATGAAATAGCCACACTGTGTAAAACCGCTATGGATTGCAGCGGTGCAGTGTCTGATGTGAGTCATTACTAGATGTTACTTGATTTTAACCTCTGAGCTTTCTATTTATATCATGATTAATCAAATGTAGCAGACAAGTGAAACATTGAATAGACATGACAAAGACGATTATTTTTTTAATAAAAGCTTTCCATTGATGTAAGGTTTGTTAGGGTAGGGCAATATTTGGCTGAGATACAACTATTTGAAAATCTGGAATCTGAGGGTGCAAAAAAATCCAAATATTCAGAAAATCATCTTTAAAGTTGTTCAAATGAAGTTCTTAGCAATGCATATTACTAATCATAAATGAAGTTTTGATATATTTACGGTAGGAAATTTACTAAATATCTTCATGGAACATGATCTTTACTTAACATCCTAATGATTTTTGGCATAAAAGAAAAATCTATAATTTTGACCCATACTATGTATTGTCGGCTATTGCTACAAATATCCCCCCAGAGACTTAAGACAGGGTCACAAATGACCCACATAATCACATGTTTATCATCACTAGCAAGAATCGAGTCACTTTAATCACATATCACCAGTGCTCCCGAAAGAGGTGAACACCACCACATAAAAACATCTGGGTTACTATTGAATATTTCTTTGAATTGTCTTCAAATATTGGTGTGCACCGACTAGACATGAACACATGTTTGTACAGCTGTGCGTTGATCTGTAGCGATAAACTACTCACTGTGTCTGGATGTCTTCAATACTCCAGTCACTGAAAGGATGATGAGCAGAAGAGCTGCTATCGACTGAGGAGAGAGAGGAAACATGATTGACAACACAGCACAAAATATATTCTCAACACTGAGAAAGTGAAAATGCATACTTACACATCTCAGGCATAGAGACCGCTTTGATCTGACTCCTAGAAAGAGAACAATACAGAGAACGAGATCAGTGTACAATTCTGATAAACAGCTCAAATCCATTCTGAGAGACAAAGTTGAGGCTTACACATTTTCAGCAGATAGCGACAACGTGTCATCTTCTTCATACATCCATTCCTCGCTGTCATCAGTGACTGGACGAACACATTTGACAATGTATTGATTTGACATGCATCAGGACTTTTGCAGTGGCAGGCCAAAACACTGGCGCCAATGCACTTTTCTCAAATAATAAAAAAAAAAGTTTCAATAAGCAGGGCCTAAAGACCCTAAAGGGTCTTTCAGGACCTAAACGCACTTCAAAAAGCACCCAGGAAAGGTTCAGGACAAAACAATGCACTGTTCTGAAGTGGCACGCTGTGAGTCTAAATCCCATTAAAACATACGGAGAATAACTGGAGCGCTTTTCACAAACTGCCAGTACAGCTCTTTATGGTTTCATTCTAAAGAGTGGTGCAGGAAAGAACATACATACAGTATGTGACCCTGGAGCACAAAACCAGTCATAAGGGTCTGGGGTATATTTGTAGGAATAGCCAAAAAAATAAATATAAATATATATATATGCATTTTAATTGACATCTACCATCCGCATCACAGATATGTAGCCATCTATAAACACAAACACAGAATCAAGACATTTGCCTCCTCCCTGCATCAGTAAGACAAGTGAAGCTGTATCAGCAATAGGGTTGCAAAGGGGTGGAACATTTACGGTAAATTTCTGGAAACTTTCCAAAAATCCCTGGAATATTCCAAAAAAATCCTGGAAAGTTTTTTAAATTCTGGAATATTTCCGAAATTTTCCACCTTTTTGCAACCCTAATCAGATGAATTAAATGCTTACATTTTTTGTAATCGGTCACTAAATGTTTGTATCTCAGGAGATAAGTCGCCCTTTTAGGGGTATAAATCAAGATACAAAACACACACACACACACACACACACACATATATATATATATAGACTGTGTGATTTTGTGTCTTGTGTTTTAGAAAACCAAATCTTTTTGTAATCTTGACAAAAAAATATTGTTGGAAAGATCTGACAGTCCAGGTTCCATATTTGGTGACCGTTTTGTAATAGAAGTGATATTATAGCAGAAATTGATTGATTTGTGACAGAAAACGGCATCAGAAAAATTTAATAGAGTTTGGGAGTAACCCAGTTCTTATTTCTGGTATAGTGCCCAAACAAAATCTCACAAGAGCCACAATTTTTGTGATATCAACTTCAAATTCGGAACATAACTTGGTTAGACATATGGCTTTGATTTGAGTGCAACATTTTATAAAATAAAGCAATAAGCCCCAAGCCGTGGTTTACAGTGAATTTATAACAGCTAAGGGGCATTGTTTCGGCACGATGCGAAGCTGTTTTATACTTTTTTTTTCAGCAATAATCTGCTGTGCGTCTTCTTTAAAAAGAGACCAACCTTAGGTCTGTATAACACAGCGTTCAGGAACTACAATCACGTTGTAACAAGCATTGATATAAACAAGAGTTCTGTTTTCAGTGAATTTATACCCCCAAAGGGGATACAAACATTAAAATCAAAAACAAGAATATGAATAAAAAATGTATTATTTGAGTTCCAATAAAATGGAAATAGCAATAAATTAATTTGCTGATGTATCTTTATGGTTTCATTCTAAAGAGTGGTGCAGGAAAGAACATACATACAGTATGTTACCCTGGAGCACAAAACCAGTCATAAGGGTCAATTTTTCGAAACTGAGATGTATACATCATCTGAAAGCTGAATAAATAAGCTTTCCATTGATGTATGGTTTGTTAGGATAGGACAATATTTGTCTGAGATACAACTATTTGAAAATCTGGAATCTGAGGGTGCAAAAAAATCTAAATATTGAGAAAATCATCTTTAAAGTTGTTCAAATGAAGTTCTTAGCAATGCATATTACTAATCATAAATTAAGGTTTAATATATTTACGGTAGGAAATTGACAAAATATCTTCATGGAACATGATCTTTTCTTAATATCCTAATGATTTTTAGCATAAAAGAAAAAAAGGATAATTTTGACCCAAACAATGTATTGTTGGCTATTGCTACAAATATCCCCCAGCGACTTAACACTGCTTTTGTGCTCCAGGCTCACATTTATATATTCTGCATGACTAAGAGATTGTCAGGAACGTCTCACATCTGTTGTTGGTGTCTCTGGCTAGCCATTTGCCCTTGGGGCAGCTGACCGTTCGGATGATGCTGATGAGATCCCCACTTTTGACGGGAAGGTCGTACTTTCGCAGTTTGCTGTCCGCCAGCACTCTGGCGTGATACATGGGCTCTTCCAGTCCAGTGATCTATTGAGAAACATGGGAAATACATCAGGAACTACATTCACTTAAACCTATGTCACTGCATTAGATGTGTACTTGGGCGGTCTTCTTTAAGATAAATGCCAGTTAGTTTGAAATAGCATCTAATGTGCCGACATCCACTGAGATTATTAAGTGTGACTTTAATGTATGCATCGGAATTAACTTTAAATTTCTTGTGCATTTCATTCCTCTTTTTATCCTTCTCTTTCTGTTCTTTCTTCTCCTTCTCCAGACGCTGCCTCTCTTTCTTCTTCTGCTCTTTATCCTCGAGATGTTCAGGGCTCAGCTGCTTCTTTCTGAAAGAATCACACATTTCTCGCAAGTCAGCTTCTACGAGGAAATTCAATTTATGCTTTTCATTACAAAATTGTTAAAATACATATTTTCTTTTACAAAGAGGACATTTGCAAGAAGCTGGAAATTAAATATCATCATAGAGCTATAACGTAACAAAACATAATACCTATCATGTTGGCCATTTTGATCGTCAGCTGCATTAGACCTTCAAAATACAGTTAATAAAACATATTTATTATTTTCTTAAGCTGTGGACTGCATTTCACAAACAACAGTAGAGTGAAATAAATGCTGACAAACCATTGAGTGACATGCCATATATTCCTCCATGTTTCTTCTTTCTGTCAAACAAATTAAGAGATCAAGAGAACTAATATGCATTAAGTGTTAAGACTAAATATTAATAACACTGCCGATGTTAGCTAAGACACATTAGAACTTTGTGCATGATCAAAAAGTTCAAAGCATTTCTACTTTTCTGAACAAATTCAAGGATCTTTTTTTACCTTTCATTTGGTATCATGAAGGCATCTTACATAATATATAAAACATAATATTGATCTGTAAATCATCTATACATTAAATAACATCAACTAAACTATATCTGTAATTTAATAAATTAACAAATTCCAAATATAAGAAATAATCACTCACCACAAGGCTGTTATCAGCATACGGATCTGAAAGGAAAACACATAAAATCACATTTTCGATTAGTTTTCTGTGAATGAAACTGTATTGTTGGCATACTACTCACTCTTAGGAGCTCCTTTACACTTATACGAGCTTTGAGCAAAAGAAAACCTGGGGACTGTTTCCACATCCTCATAAACATTACCAAAGGTTTCATGGAAACACTCTTGTTGAGAATTCCTGAGGAAAAATATAATATAACATTTGTTGGCAAGTCGGATTTGTCTTGATTGCAGTATAATGAAAATCACAGAACTATATTGAGAGAATACCACCCTAGAGTCATACTATTCATAACTATTTCAGGAATATCCAACATAAGACAAATTAAACTCATGCTTTTACATTGGTTCTGATGGAAGCTGGTGTTCACTGCTCGGGTTGAAGGCCGTGTGTGATCCATTCAGTCTCAGGTCAGAGGTCACCGATTCTGTATTAGACGCCAGGGTCCCTACTTTTCTCATTTCCTCTGAGGACTGACACGGAGCGTCTTCTGACTGCATGTTCTTTGGACCAAAATGACCCGGACAATGCTGGACCAAAAAAGCCTGTGAATGCAGGCCACCGTCTTCATCTGGCAGTGGAGGTGGAGGCAACGAATCAAACTCTGGAAACTCAGTGGCCCCTAAATCCAGGGCCGCCAGGTTTATAGCATTACTGTCTGTGGCGTCTGGTGCAGAAATGTCAAAATCTGGAAATTCGGGGGGAGGTACGCGTCCGCTTGTGTCCTCAAGTGATGCATTAGCAGTGGCCACAATCTCAGGCTCGGGAACAGATTCTGGAAAAAATGCAGCAAAGAACCAGATTGAAATCATTTCCTTGATATGAATGGATCAGCCGTGTTTCAAGCGGTTGTAACATGCCATTTAACAGATTTAAGACTGCACAGTACATTAATGCAGCAACCTGATTACCTTAATTCACTACTTCAGACTTATGTGCCTCTAGAAGCTTGTGTTCTGCAAGTGAACAGCGCTTTATTGTTCATCCCAAAGAGCCACAAAATCACTTTCACAGACTTTTACATTAACTGTTCCCTCCCGGTGGAATAACCTGCCCAACTCAATCCCAGCAGCTCAGTCCTTAACCATCTTCAAGAATCGACTAAAAACATATCTCTTCAATCTTTATTTGACCCTCTTACTCTAGCACTCTCTATTCTAATTCTATTTTATCTATTTGTTTTCTTTTTTATAAAAAAAAAACATGACCCTTAAAGAATTGAGCTCTATTTGTTTTCTAACTGCTTGTTTTCTATTTAAAAAAGCTAGAAACACTAGCTTTCTCTATTCTGTCTGTTTTCTTTTTATCTATAATCTGTGTCCCTGCAGCACAAAAGCAGTGTTAAGTCGCTGGGGGATATTTGTAGCAATAGCCAACAATACACTGTATGGGTCACAATTATAGATTTTTCTTTTATACCAAAAATCATTAGGATATTAAGTAAAGATCATGTTCCATGAAGATATTTAGTAAATTTCCTACTGTAAATATATCAAAACTTAATTTTTGATTAGTAATATGCATTGCTAAGAACTTCATTTGGACAACTTTAAAGATGATTTTCTCAATATTTAGATTTTTTTGCACCCTCATTTTCAAATAGTTGTATCTCGGCCAAATATTGTCCTATACTAACAAACCTTACATCAATGGAAAGCTTATTTATTTATTTTTAAAAAATTGACCCTTATGACTGGTTTTGTGCTCCAGGGTCACAAATAATTAACAAAAAAAAAAAAAACCTTGCTGTGTGTACTGCATTGAGACTTGTTCTAGCACTTGCATATCATTGCGCTTTAATTGATTTTGATTGCTTCCATTGTCCTCATTTGTAAGTCGCTTTGGATAAAAGCATCTGCTAAATGACTAAATGTAAATGAAATGTAAAAGTAAAATGTAATTGATCCTGTGATGGCATAGCTGAATTTTCAGCTGTCATTATTTCAGCATGAATGATTTCTAAAGGATAATGTGGATATTGTAGCTATTATTATTATTGGAAATAGTTTTTGCTGCTACGAATTTGTGTGATGCATTTTTTCCAGGATTTTTTGATGAATAGAAAGTTAAAAGGAACAGTATTTAGGCTATACAAAATACATCTTTTATTACATTATAAATGTTTTTACTGCCACTTTTGATCAATTTAATGCATCTTCGCTGAATAAAAGTTCATTTTAAAAATATAACTTGCTCTAAATTTTTGAATGTTAGTGCATCACATTTTTCAACAAAATATTTAACATTGATAATGATTTCTGAAGGGTCAAGTGACGCTGAAGACTAGATTAATGGCTGCTGAAAAATCAGCTTTGCCATTACAAAAAAAATTTCATTTATTTTAAATAAATGTATTCAAATAAAAAAAAAAATTATATTTCATAATATTAATGATTTAATGTTTGTTCATCAAATGAATGCAGCCTTGCTGAGAAAGAATATATTAATACATTAAAAGAATACAAGTCGTGACTATAAAAGCCTCTTTATGTTAAATCTCAGCTTTTTAACAATTTCAGGGCTCTTACTGTAGAGAACTAATCTCACGGACACAGTATTCAGTCTAGCAACGAGATAAATTAATACATGAGCAAAAAATCAAGAAACAATAAATCAAAAAAAAGGAAGAGAACTTCTACAAACCAACAGTAAGTGCTTCGCTTGTTTCACAGACATGAAATCCAGTCTTATATTTGCTCAGATCCACATGTGGAGGTCTAGGTGGCTTTAAGGGTGTAGGGCCTAAGGATGCCAGGTCAGGAAGAGGTTTGCATGCTTTCGGAGGCTGCATGACTCCACCGAGCTCCATTACAGAGATGCTGCCTGAAGTACAAGAACAAGTAATACAGACACATTCCTCAGGTCTTACATTAAAGTAACTTCACATTCTGTATCATGCGAGATCAAATTGCAAACATTCATATGCATCCACGTAAAAGATTGCACAGTTTTGCAACTCACGGTGTGATACTCCATTAACCTTCTGACAACTCTCAGATTCAGTGGGCGATGGAGGGCTTTCTGCGAGCTGCGCTTGTGCTTTACTGGAGTAGAAGCCCTTTGGTCTGCCACACACCAACAGGTTCCTCTGACAGAGCTTCCTCTTGGCTTTCTCTAGTGGGCTCAGGACACGCTGGTCAAAGAAATGAGTAACACTGCCAGAAGACGGATCTGTCAGCGAATCATTTGGCGAAGGTGGATGATCCAGCAATCCGGGATTTGACACCCTAGCCTGCTGGGCCTCCACGGCTTCTGGACTTGCAGTCTTTACGGTGGACTCTTGCATCTGAACATTAAAAGTGCCACTGTTCTTCAGACGCCCCAGACCATTTTTGCCAATTTCTTTAGCGCACAGTGAAACTCTGGTCGAGCTGAAAGGTGTAGGAACTGGTTTCATGATGCATTTAAGAGGCGAGGTGATGCTCTTTGAAGGAGGTGCGGAAGAGTCATGCTTTGGCTCGCCTGAAAGCGGCAACACGAGGGGCAAATGCCACGTTTTAAGTGACTGCCTGTTGGGCCCATCTCCAGATGCTGTGCTTGGGAACGATACAGGGTGTTTTCCTGAAGGTGTTTTCTGGTCTTCTCTCACAATGACCCGGGGTTGACTGGCGGTCTTGGTTTCCACAGCTGAACACAGGCTCATGGTTATCAGACCAGAGCGGCTTATGGCAGATTTTGGGAGGCGTTTGGGTCTCTCAGGGACCTCAGGTCTGCACCTCACCTGGATCTCTTCTTGAAACTTTGCCCTTAAGGATTTGAAATTGTTGCAGGCTTCCTATAACCAACATAAAATCAGATTTAATCAGTTAATTGACAAATACACAGTTAAGCTCACACTAATACAATTTAGTAGTGCGATATTCAAATAGGTAGGCATTTAAATGCATGCTTATTGTTCAAAATCATGTACTTAAATATAAAGAAAAAGCACAGCGACATAAACAAGTACATATAAGCAAAATACACGAAGTGTACTTTTGCCCAACAAACTCTATTTGGCAAAATAGGACACGTTCGGCGTCTTTTCTTAGTAGCAGTCTGTTGTTTATCACAAATAGTTTGTTTACCTCTTCCATGTTCGTATATATATTACATAATATCTTCAAAAAAGCTTGCACAACGCGTCCAGACAGCAGAAGAGTGTTCTTATCGATTGAACAAACCAGGTACGAATTTGCCTCATGAATATTAATTACGCTGCGTCGGTAGTCCACTCTGATTGGATAGAATAGAGACGTTAAAGAGCGGGCGCCAGTACCGGACAAATAAAAGAACCTTCATATTTATATAATATTATATATCACTAGGATTCTTTTATTTGCCCGCTACTGGCGCCCACTCTTGTTTTTAAATCGTTATGCTTTATGTTGTCGACACCTGGCGACGCACACGCAACCTAATTAATATTCATGAGCCAAGACTTCCACAGAGTAGGATTTTATTTAGTTCTATTATGTATTTATAGTTAAGCATCTCAATTAAACGTGACATATTTCATATAAGATAAGTAATACGGCACAATGAATTTTGTGTTTTATGATTGCTGTATTAATGTTCTGGTAATTCTCTATTTTTTTTAACAGTATGCAGTGTGGGCAAAGTGAAATAGGTAAGTTGCAAACTGGTGATAATTACTCCAATCGTTTATTTTGATTCAATGCAAGTCATCAACCTGCTGTATTTGTTCATGATAAAGTTGATAACGTTTCTTGTAAGTCATGTATTTGCTTGGAGGTTTACATGTCTGTATTTATATTCATATAATTGATATTAGAAATAAATATATTTAATACATAAACAACCTATTTTTCTTAAATATATACATGCATACATACATATAGCATGTAAACAAAAGCTTTTATTTTGGATGTGATTAATCGCGATTAATCGTTTGTCAGCACTAATACACACACACACACACACACTCATATATATATATATATGCTTCTGATGTATGCATTTTTTAATTTGTTCTTTTACATATATAATTATATATAATTTATATATAATTTTAGACATTTCCTGGGCAAACTGCAAATGTAGAACAGCTCTAATTTCTGGTGATATGCAAAAAACATGCAACATGCAAACATTTTAATGTCATTTTAATTAAATCACGTTGAACTCTCCAGTATATGTGTTGCAACTGTTAACACACATATAAGCTGATGATAACCGAAAATAAATATGTGGGATGTTACTGATGTTTCACAGATTCGTTTCCAGTACTTGGAGCGAGCGTCTCAGTTTGGTGGTCAGAAGTGTGTGCACACTCAGTGGGACGAAAGACAATGTCCAGAAGAGGGCGAGTGTCAGCTGCAAGACAACCACTGTGGGGACATGTTTGCATGTGGGCCCCAAGGTTGCTATTTCTGCCTGCATTTCTTTCTACATGTTTGTCTGTATGTCTTTTGAATATATTGCAAACTGTATGTGTTCTCGCAGGACGCTGTGTTGGACAGCAGCTCCGATGCAATGATGAAATAGACTGTGTGAATCACAAAGATGAAACTGACTGTGAAGTGATAAACAGAAGAGAAACCAAATGCACCGGCATGCTGACTATACCAGGAGCTGAAAAAGCCACTCAAGGGTAAGACGTATAGCAGACTGATTTTTTGACTGCTTACTGATAAATATCAATAATTCAGTAATAACTGACATACTGTACAAGACCAAATGTATTGGTTTCACATCCAGAAAAATGACTTAAATCCACACTATCACGTGTGTGGTATATTTATATTTCAATATATTTTAAACACATACTACATGATGTACATGTATCCAAATCTTGAAATGAGTTTGTTTTATTTCCTCAGATATAGTGCTTTATCTGGTGATTTTATGAATCATGTTCTGGACCCAGCATACTTTGGAGGCGTTTGTGAATACATCTATAATGGGGAGTGGCGCAAACTCACATACGATCCTTTCTGCAAGGTTGCTATTTCTGCCTGCATTTCTTTCTACATGTTTGTCTGTATGTCTTTTGAATATATTGCAAACTGTATGTGTTCTCGCAGGACGCTGTGTTGGACAGCAGCTCCGATGCAATGATGAAATAGACTGTGTGAATCACAAAGATGAGACTGACTGTGAAGTGATAAACAGAAGAGAAACCAAATGCACCGGCATGCTGACTATACCAGGAGCTGAAAAAGCCACTCAAGGGTAAGACGTATAGCAGACTGATTTTTTGACTGCTTACTGATAAATATCAATAATTCAGTAATAACTGACATACTGTACAAGACCAAATGTATTGGTTTCACATCCAGAAAAATGACTTAAATCCACACTATCACGTGTGTGGTATATTTATATTTCAATATATTTTAAACACATACTACATGATGTACATGTATCCAAATCTTGAAATGAGTTTGTTTTATTTCCTCAGATATAGTGCTTTATCTGGTGATTTTATGAATCATGTTCTGGACCCAGCATACTTTGGAGGCGTTTGTGAATACATCTATAATGGGGAGTGGCGCAAACTCACATACGATCCTTTCTGTGAACGCCTCAGTTATGATGATGCTGAAAAATATTACCGGAAACCTCACAACTTCCTCTCATATCAAATAATGGTATTATCTCATGTCTCTGGTACTTTAATATCACACAAAATAACTTACTTGCTGTTTCTTTCCCATTCATACTGTATACCTGTATATATATATATATAGAGAGAGAGAGGTTCCTAGTCACCTTGTGATACATATATAAATAACTTCATAGTGCATATCTATATTATGGCTTCAGAAGGCTTACAAATGCAATACAAAGCATGAAGGTTATGGCATGTGGATTCTGAAAAGAATAGAAAAGGGTGGTTGTCAGGGCTTAAAAGAAAAAACGGAGTACATATTTAATCTGACACTTAGCTTTATTAAGTGAAATGCAACCAAATAAACAGATTAAACACGACTATTTTGGCGTATATTGCTTAAGGGTGAGTGTAATTTAAGGAGAGACAACATACTGAATGTTTCATATTTTATTGCCATATTTAATGCTTTAAGGCCACCAAGTTGGTCGAGACTGTAAACATGAAACTACTGTGTTCAGTTTTCCTGCATTTAAACTCTGAGGCTGTAGGGGACCCAACAAGTGTTGTTTTGGGGGGTTTTAATGGCTGATTTGCTGCTAACCCCATTTATAAAGATGTGGTTAGAACCTCTGCATATCTCGGCTGCCACATCATAATCAAAGGACACCTGAATCTTGTTTTGTGCTTTCCGTTTTACCAAAATTAATTTTAATAGTATTTTTCTACCATAACCGTGCAGGTGGAGTCCTTTATGACACAGCCAAGTTGACTCGGCCCCTTCATTCTAGCATTTAATGTTAAGAAGGACGCTGGAAGCCTCAGAAGGACTGGTTTAGGAAGAACACAGCCTTAGAAGCACCCACTGACTATGTTATTGTCCCTGCCAGGCACAAGCGACTACCAAGGAAGCATCAGATTATTATGAGGATGCTGTTAGCTTTCTCAAGGCAAGGCAGAGAGAAATATCCTTTAACGTTGGTGTGACGCTGAGAGTCGCTTTTGTGGAAGTTGGTGTGGAACTTAGTGCTGAATTCAAGTTTCTGCGCAACATATCACAATACACTAATAAGGTAAAGTAATACATTTTGGCTAATATATCTACTTAATTCTCTTTATTGTCACCATATAACAGCAGTGCTGGGTAGTAACTGATTACATGTAATCATATTCCAAAAATAAAGTACTTGTAATTAGATTAAATTGCATTTTAAAATACTCGTAATCAAGACTACAGTTCATTTTTATTGATTACATCATTACATATTATTTAATTACACAATAGCAATAACTTACTCCCTAATCTAAAATAGCCTATGGTTTATATGCACTCAGAAAGTCATCCAGTTTTGTGGACATTCACACAGAGATGATCAGTCAAATATTGATTAAAGTAATTGAGTAAATGTAAGCCCTTGACATTAAAGACAACATGGTATGGTGATTATAATAATAAGGTAATTATAAAAACTGCGCTCACAAATGTAAAAACGTTCCAGGGGGCAAATATTGCCCCTTAATGCAAATGTTAGCTAGTAGTATTCAGGTACAGAAACGGAATAAAACAACATTTCACAGTATAAATTAAATATAGATTAATTAAAGTTACAAAAGTTACTCAGTCAAGAGCAGTGAGTGTTTTTCTCTCTGTCTTTTGTTGTTTGATTAACATTGACACAGACAGAAGCAGGTAGAGTATAGGCTGCTGTCACTTTAAAACTTAATGCACGGATCCAAAATACTGATACGCTTGCATTTCCTTTCATTCGTGTGTTTGATTGGTTATCCTTAAAACTGTAAACTTGTAAATTGCTCTCAGTTTGAGTTGAGTTTGACTCAACCGACTGCATGACTTCAACTCGTTTTGTCTTTCTGACCTCGCTATATAGTCTGGATAATGCCTTGGAAACTGCAGCATTTCGATTATTTTAATTTGTGCATGTCTTCTTTGCATGTCTAGGAGGTGGGCTTTGTCAGGCTGTTGTCAACAGTGCAAACAGCTCAGTTTAAGATGAGAAGCAGAGACTTGATTCTGGACGAGGACATGCTCTGGGCTCTGGGTGATCTGCCTGATCAGTATGATTTTGGTGCATATTCCCAGTTTTTCAATGAATATGGCACACACTATGTCACGGAGGGTACCATGGGTGGAGTCCTGGATTATGTTGCTGTTGTGAGCAAGAATGCCATGCAAAGAAATGGTATGAAAATTATATTTACAAGCAAAACAAAATGGACAGTGTATCAAAAATAAATGACTGACCTGTATTTTACTAACTCTGTTTAAGTAAGAAAAACTAACTTTACCACATTCTTTTCACTATTAGAAATGACTGGGTTACAAATCGGAGCATGCCTTGGTGCATCTTTGGGACTGACACTCGAACAGAGTACAACAATTTCAGTAAAAGGAAAAGCATGTGGAAAAATTGCAGCAAAGATATCGAGTAAGCAACATGCATTTTAAATTATTTTGGTTTTACATTAAACTTATTAAATTCTACTTTTTTTTCGTATTAATTTTATTTTCATTTTCAACAGCTGACGATAAGTCCAGCAGTGCTATTGAGGATGTGTTGGGCTTTGTAAAGGGTGGACACACCGGCTCCAGCACTGGAAGTTTGGCTATCAAAGATGCCAAAAGTTACCAGGACTGGGGAAAGAGTCTCAAATACAACCCTGCGCTAATTGAGTTTGAGGTGCATTTGCCTGACTAACTTAATATACAGTACTTGTCATGTAGTTGTTTCATACTTTAGTTATTTCATATACATTGTACTGTTAAAGGAGTGATAATCAACACTACGCACAGGGGCGAACTTACCCATTAGGCAAAGGTAGGCGACCGCCTTGGGCCCTCAAAAGCCAAGGGCCCCCTAAAATGCTTTTCATATAGGAGATGCACATTAAGCGCTGACACGCGAATGGTTGAACTGTTCTGGAACAGTGTTATAAATACAACTTAACCACTGATTTCTAGTCATGTCCTCTTTTGGAAGGCCAAACAAAGTAGTTTCGCTTTCACAACGAAACACAGCGTCACACACGGCGGGCTAGAGTGAGCAGAGGCCGGCGGGCTTGAGAACGGCGCGGCCGGCGGATTCAACGAAGGGTCCGGAGGGCTTGCGGCAACACATGTGACGACCCCGGGCTGGACTCCGCTTCGTCCACGGTGAAAGACGATCCGGTGAAGTTGATGTATATCATTAGCGACCAGCATGGGTCAGCTCCAGGCATGACGAATCGTGATGATGATCGTCCTCTTTTGGAAGGCCAAACAAAGTAGTTTAGCTTTCACAACGAAACACAGCGTCTTCACGACATGGCGGTGGCAGCAACAATACTACAGCGAGAATAAAAGTTACGCCTTCTTTCTTTGCGTGAACATTTGGGTGGCGTTATGCAAATCTTCCCACATCGTGATGTAGACATGTGGGGGCGTGTAAGAACGAGCCGTTTTAGGTAGGCGTGGCTGACTCTTAACTTTTATAAAGAATATCTCTTTGGATTTGAGACTTTAGTCTTTGCAACTTTACAGATCTTCTTTATGCACCAAGAGCTTGTAACACTCCAAAGAGAAAGGAAAAATTTAAATAACATCATATGACCCCTTTAAATAAAAGCAATGTGTGATCTACAGTATCAAATGCTGCGGATAAGTCTAGGAGTACCAGAATCACAGAGTCACCTGTATCAGTAGCAATTTAAATGTCATTTAAGGGTGTTTTCACACATGGCCTGTTGTTTCGGAACCTGGCGCGTTTCCCCCCTTAGCACGGTTTGTTTGGGCATATGTGAACACGGCAATCGCACTCGGATCCGCGCCAAAACAATCGGTCCGAGATCGCCTGAACGAGGTGGTCTCGGCTCGATTGGAAACTAACTCTGGAGCGGTTCGGTTGTAGTGAGAAAGCAATCCGATCCAACGGACCAACGAACCAGGCTATATCACAATTTATAACGGGGTAATTACGTAAGTTCCGTGAAAAGCATTAGCTTTGTTGTTTTGCTGATACCTCAAAATGAACCTGTGAATGTCTGTGGGAGAGCACGTCTTTGCCATTCAAAAATAGTTGCCCCATCTGAAGATGGCATGGGAAGAGTACATGCAGAACTTCAACCCGTGTCACTGCGCCTCCTGTAAGAATAATGGCGTACCTGTGCTCTCCAGGACAGACTGCAGTTGTATATGTAAAAATGGTTACAGAGGTGATGCCTGTGAGGAGACGGAAAGAAAAGGTAATGTATTTTACCAAAGTATAACTCTTACTTTACACACATGTCTCTTAAGTGCTGGCGGTATGTCAGAAGAGGCAATCTCCAATAGAGTCTCTGCAATACTCTATTCTAAATAAACATATATAATCTTTTAAAAAAGCAGGACCTTTTGTCGCCTTAAATGTGATAAAACTTTGCAGCTTTGTCACACGAGGTCCCCAGATAATACTAATCCCATGCAAATAGGGCTTGTGAAGTATTTTACAGTTTAAAATGCAGCTCAGCTAATCATAATCAAGTATTGGAAACGTATATTATAACAGTGATTTAGTGACAGGTGCAGTTTCAAGAAGCCGTGGTTTACATTGAATTTATAACAACTAAGGGGCATTGTTAGTTACGACGCGAAGCAGATGTGCCTAAAACCCCCTTAGCTGTTATAAATTCACTGTAAACCACGGCTTCATGGGGCTTATTGCTTTTATAAAACGGTTATTCCATATACGTAGTAAGGTTTCACAAAATAAAACAGAGCAAATAAAGTGTAATGATATTAATAAAAACAGTATTCTTCCACCAAACAATGTAGCGCCTCAGAAACAGTTGTGGTTGCTACAAAGTGGTTGCAAAAGTAAACAAAGGTGTATGTTTGTAGAGTAATTTACAACAGTTTCGAACGTGGCTCAACCAATCAGAATCAAGGACCGGAACTATCCGTTTTATAACAAACCTTGAATGCACTGCAAATGGCTTTGAATAAACGTGTCTGCCAAATTAAATGCAAATGTCTATACAGCATAGTAGGAGTAAAAGTGGGATCAGGACATGACTCGAACCTGATCAGACCTAAACCTGGGTTTCCCAAACTTGTTTAATTAGGAAAAGGTAAAACATGTGTAGTGTTGGCGTATCTCGAGGAACAGGGTTGGGAAAGAATGGGTCTGTCCAAATACTCACACTTACGGTCTTTGCACTTGACCACTTTGCTTTTACTAATTACGTGATGCATTTCCTGTGTTTGGCCCAAGTGTTCAAATGGGCTTGGAGACTCATCTCTCCACCAATACAATGTGCACTATGTTATGTCTTGCAACCAAATTATATGCAATTTCTGATTTAACATTTGTTTGTGTCTGGATTTTGTTTCCTGAACATGATGAATGATAGGATAAACTTAGCCTCAAACACGCTATCAAGCTCAGTTCTGACGATCAGATCATGTATGTTAAGCAAGGTTTTTCCCTCTGACAGGTCCTACACATGGAGACTGGAGCTGCTGGAGCTCCTGGTCCAAATGTGTGTCTGGAACAAAGACACGTAAACGGGAATGCAGTAACCCCCCGCCAAAAGATGGTGGCCTGGCTTGTCAAGGAAGCAGTAATCAGAAGAAACGTTGCTAAAATCTAAATACTCATGTTGACAGTGTCCTGTAATTTTATACTAGCATAATGCCACTTCTGTCTGCTGGTTTGGGTTTACCTTCACCAGGTAATGTTGTTCAATTTAGTTAAAATATGTTACTTTTTTGGATGACCTGATTTCAAGTCCCGACTTGTGGTCCTTTTCCGGTCATGTTCCCCTCGTTCCTCTTCAATTGCTGTCTCTCTCTCTATACTGTCATATCAACATGAAGGCAGAAAAGCACATAGATATAACCTGAAAAATAAAAAATTGTTACATTTTAAGGAAACGTTCACTTAAAACTCTCTTGTGATTGATTGCAATGAGGTTTCTAATGAATGTGATTGAGATTTTAAAGCAAGGAAATGATTTTCAAAGAATAATAACGTCTCGGTTATGTTATGTAACCCTGAAGGAGAGAATGGAGATGTTGTTACTAGGGAGCCCCAATCACCTCTGAGCATTACAAGAAACGTCCAATGACTATTGGTGAGTGGAATTTGCATGCCAAGCTTCTCCCCGTACATATTGGTAAAAAAGAGGGTGGCGTGCATCCACTCATTCAGGTTTGTGCTGAGGAGCTGAGAATTATCCCGGCATTCAGTGCAGTTCAGGGTTGTGGCATGAGGAATGCAACATCTTCGTTCCCTCGATTTTCCAGGGAGGGGCTGTCACAAGGAGCTCCTGCATGAACCCTGGATTTTAGCACCTTGGCCTGATTTACTTGCAGGATAGCCATATTATTTGTGCTAGGAACAGGGGCGAACACAGCACTGAATATGCCGTTCGAAACGCAGCAGAGAAGCCTGCTGATGTGTTGATAGTAGTGATGAATCTCTTGCTCATGAAGCAATCGACTTTGAAGCAAAAATCTGAATGAGTGGATGCAGACCACCATCTTATATACCTGTATGTACGGGGAGTGGCTTGGCATGAAAATTCCACTCGCCAATAGAGGTGATTGGGGCTCCCAAGTGAGACCCCTAATCTCAGTGTCGAACGTTGCATTGAACGTAACTGACTGAAAAGGAACTGAAATTTCTTAAGTTGGTCTGTAGAGCACATAAACATATGACTACTTTTGGTACTTTTATTTGGAACTCTTACACAGTGAATTATTTTGTGTATTGCAAAAGAGCATGCGGACAGTGTCATTCTAGACAGGGTTAACTGGTTAACTTCGGACCTGGAGGGGATTAGGGTTGGAGCTAAACTCTGCAGGACAGGGGCCCTCCAGGACCGAAGTTGCACAATCTGTATCGGAAAATACAACAGATGGATAAAATGATTGACAAAGATGTTTAGCTTTTGACAACTACACACCAAAAAAAACAACTTTGGGAATTAAAAAATGTGCTATGTGTGTATGCTTCGTTAAACAGGACCAGCAAGAGTGCTTCACAAAAACTAAAGTGTCATTTTATGTGGGTCAATATTTAGTTTATTTAGTGTGGGTCAAATGGTCATGATCCAATGGTCGTGGTTGTCTGTGGAAAGTTAAGCTAGTACTGTAGGACGTAATGAAGATAATGATTATCCAATGCAATAGAAGGATCTGTGTGAAGTTTAAAGTGAAGTCTATTATGTTTTTTGTATGGAAAATATCAGTCATGATGTAAATATCAGTTATGATGAATGAAGACCGGAGTCAGAGATTACTGAAGAAAATATTTTGTAGTTTCGTCAGCAGAAGTCAGCTTCAACACTCAGCAAAGAGTTCGTAGGCCACTCTGCTCACCCATCAATTATACTCTAACAGAGATCAGTAAACTATGCCATTACTTCAAGTTTTATGATTCTAATTGGTTAAAGCATAGATAAACTTGGAATATATCCAGACATGGACTTCTTGTAAGTAGCATATCTCCACTGATACTCATTTTGACAGCAGGGGAGTCTGAGTTTAGACGCAATGTGACACAGAACAGCCTTTCTATATGTCCAGTGTTCTTAATATGCTCATTCCAGCACACCAGTGTTTAGAGCTGAATGGCTAAATCAGGAAACATATTGATAAGATATCATTTCTCACAGTCAGACTTTCAATCAATATGTTTTATTCTCTGAGCTCACACTGAGAACTGGTCACACAGAGAAGGGCCTGAATGACCTATGTGACTTGGACTATCACGGTCAGCAGGAGGGTTATAAATATGTGTAGACAGACTCATAATGCTAAACCCTAAAGGGATAGTTCACCAAAAAATAAAAATTACCCAATGATTTACTCACCCTCAAGCCATCCTATGTGTATATGACTTTATTCTTTCAGATGAATACAATTGGGGTTATATATATATATAAAAAAAAAAAGTCCTGGCTCTTCCAAGCTTTATAATGGTAGTGAATGGCTGTTGAGATTTTGAAGCAAATTAAAGTACATAAATCCATCGTAAAAAGTGCTCCACACAGTTAATAAAGGCCTTCTGAAGCGAATCGGTGCGTTTTTGTATAAAAATATCCATATTTACAACTTTGTAAACCATAATCTTTAGCTGTTAGGCGAACTATGCCTTCTAATTCTTTGAAGGATGAATATTGATTAGTAGCTGATCAGAACCACTTGAAAGGATATATGAAAGTGAAAATAAAAAGTGATCCATACTCTGAATTTGTGCTCTGCATTTAACCCATCCACACACACCCACAACAGTGAACACACACACACACACACACACACACACACCGTGAACAAACACCCGGAGCAGTTACTGTATCGGCATCTATGGGATATTGAAGTTAACTTGTGTGTTTCACCCTTACATACCTTAACTTGCCAACCTGGCTGCTTTAAATGAATGTGAGTGCATTTAGCAGCTAGTCGCTGAATTGCAAGCGTTTCATATATTAGATAAGCACATAGCTGCAGTCAGTGATGAGGCCAGAACAAGCACGTCCAGTGCAAGTAGGCTATGACTATTTATTTCACTTCATAATTTTATTTATCCATTATCCTGAAGAGACATTTTTAAATGATATTGGTTTGCTCATGCCCTTTGTGAGAACTTGAGCTTAACTGAGACTTGAATGTTTTTTAAGTATTTGAGTGGTTGCAGTATTAAGGTGTGCAGCTTTTTTTTCTATTTCAGAAAATAAACATGCAGTTGCGCTACTCACTAATTGACTGTTTCTTGTTTTTTACTGTCATGTCTTCTGTTGGATGTTGAGGAAAAGTGCATCTTTTGCCTTTATTGTCACTGTAAGGCTGACGATACACAGAGCAACTTTTTGAGCAATATTGCTGGGCAACTTTGGTTAATGTTGGCATCAACAGGCAACCAGGTGAGACACAGGGCCTATGACTGATTTAAAGTATCCAGATAGAAATTTGTTACCCATTCTCAGTGGGAAAGTGGCTAAGCAACATTGCTCAAAAAAGTTGCCTGGCAAAATTGCTCAAAAAGTTGCCCCGTGTATCATGTCTGATGAGGAGCTTGTAGGCTCGAAACGTCACCTGTGGTGAGAACATAAATATTGTTTTCTACTTTTGGAGCTGTGGTGTGCCAACTTTGCTCTTCCTGTCTGACATTGTTTGTGGTTGAGCACCCACATTGAGCTTTTGGCCTGCTGGATGTGCGCACTTTGATTATAATCTTCGTGTATCATCAGGCTAAGGTATTTCAACTTTTACTTAAGTATGGCTGGTACTCTTTATACCTATCACTTGATCAACATTTTCCCCAAAGCAAAACATCTGGAAACATTACAGTAATGAATTATAATAATAATTTAAAATATAATTTTGTATATAATCTCTTTTGGTTTAGAGGCGTAATTTGGCCTGGACATATTTTCATATAATATAATGAAAGCATTTTCTATGCATTCAACATTTTTCCATTTATTACAGCTCTGGTTAAAGAAAATCGTTTATGTGCATATGCCCAACTTATCTGTCAGTATGCATTATCCATTTCAAAACAATGCTATTATTTGTTACATTATTACTGTTATTTGTGAAACTGATAAATGGCAGATATTTTAGAAGCAATCAGCTGATTCCTCTTCTGGCCCAGGGCATGTTACTCCACCGTTCTGCGGCGCTGGATTGTTACACTGACGGGTGCGTTTCTGGGTCTTTCGTGTGCAGGTGGACCATGAAGACCAACAGCTCCAACTGCCATCTACTGCCAATGCTGTAAATGTTAGGATAATACCAAAAAAAAATTAAATAAATGCATGACGATATTAGCACAAGCTTTTGTCCATAGGGACTTTAGAGTGAAGAATATCACATGCAATTTTTCATAAGAACCATATTCATAGTATGCAATACCATGTACTATAAACTAGCTTAGTATATATATATATATATATATATACATATATATAATGTAATAAAGAACTTTAAAACTGAAACTGTATAATTTCCATTGACCATGACGGCATTAATTTATCAAATGATTAAATAAAAGAGAAGATCATCATACTAATACAAGCATCCTTTCTGCATTTCTAAAGAGCCGATTCCTAAAATGACATATATAGGAAAACTCTCTAACTCAATGGGCATCCACACCAAGTGCAGCATTTGGAACAGGACAAAAACATCCCTCTTTTATAGATAACACACTGACAAACCTTTTCGTTTGGTTATCTCACAGCTCACTCCTCTGAAACCAGCTGGGCAAATACAAACACACCTTGTGCCTAATAAGAAAAAAAAATATCTTAAGGATTAAAGTAACCTCCAACACTTGAGATATTTAGATATTTAAAAACTACCTGAAAAAAGTAAATTATTCCATATATCCCCCGTTTATCAAAGTAAGAGATTTTTTTCATTTTTTTCTTAATTAATGTTTTCCTTTAAAATGCTCTTGTTTGTAGAACTTTATCTTGTTTAGAAACACCATTTTAGAACTCTCAATGAAAATAACTATTTTCCAAATAAAAATAACTATTATTTTTTAGATAGTGTTTTCTGATTATCCTCACCTTTGAGCACTGCCATGCCGTTATTGAGACAGGGTGAGCAGCGACAGGAGCTGATTTCTTTCAGGTACTCTGACAGAGCTCTCTTCAGGTTTTTCTTCAGGATGTTAGCATTTGGGTCACGGGATGGCACCAACTCATGGAGTGGCTCTATCTGTAAAAACAAAACATCTTAATTGTACCATTACAGGATTTTACAAAGTAAAATTAAGTCACACAATAAAAGAGGTCCTGCAACCCTACAGAGGACAAGTGGTTGGGAGAATGAAGAATATTAACATATGTAATATTTAATCTACTAAACCAGGGCTGTCCAACCCTGCTTCTGGAGGTCCTGCAGACTTTAGCTCCAACCAGCTCCAAC